TCTTCTTCTTCTTCTTCTTCTTCTTCTTCTTCTTCTTCTTCTTCTTCTTCTTCATTTTTAAACAAAAATAGTATCATCATCATCTTCATCATCGTCTTTACTAGATCTACTATTTTTATTATTATTATTATTAAAGCCATTTCTGATCACAGAGGTAGAAATCTGGGCCTAAAAATTGTTACAACGCAATTTAATTTACTGAAGGCCAATTATATCAGTTGAAGTTTTCCTCCTGTGCCCGCAGCTATTGTGAATACATTTCTGCTGTCGAAGCCAACACCCACAAAGCAATATACCATCTTTATCGAATATCGAGTATCTTAATGTGACCAAAATCTCACCCATTATCTTATATTGATCCGGATCAAATATTTTATTTTCCGGATCAAACCTTTGGTAGATCTATAATTATACAGCTCACATTAAAAATGTAAAATGTTTTGAACAATAATCTATAATCTTAATCTAAAATTAATATACAGTAATAAAGTATGTTTGAATAAAGTTTTTGTATTGGATTTGGTTCGTAAACTACTTATCCCTAAAAAGGAATCCTAAAAGGAAACAATAATTTTCTTAAAAGTAGGACTAATTTGTTGAGGAAATCTCAAGTATCGATCCCTTATCTCACTGTATCGCCGAATGAGCTTTAAATCTTGTAAACAAAACAAAAGAGCAGACTACCCTTCGTGTGTCACGGGTTCTGCTGTAGAGTGTCCCGGCGGCGTTTTGATGTTGACTCTAGATCTAATATCTAGATTTAGTCTAGTTCTGGAGACTCTAGGCCTAGTTAGTCTAGTAAGAGGCTAGTACCTTAGGCCGCTGTGTAGAGTCCAGTGAAATGGAACGTTAGTGAACTTAAATGTTCTGTTTCTTTTGACTCTACAAAGTTCTCGAAACCTTTAGGGACTTCCAACACAGGTGAGTTATTGCTTATAAATAAATGAATGAAATGCATCAAGTAAGAATGGTTTGTGCAGGCTACCACAGGCTAGACTCTACTAAACTAGATCTAAATCTAGATATAGATATAGATAGATCTAGATAGATCTAGATATAGATTCTAGACTCTAGATTAGATCTATTATTGATAAATTATTGTTGTCTTAAAAAACTTGTCATTCACATTACATTTTTGAATTTTTGCTAAATTAAACTTTAAATTAAAAGTAATAAAAGTCTACCAACCCCCAATTCAAGTCTTTGACTTCATTTTAGTATAGATTCTAGATTAGATCTAGATCTAGATCTAGATCTAGTGTAGAATGAGACTGATTTAAGATTTTTTTTTTTGTAAGTTCTATTTTCTTTGCTAGACTTTGAATTCTCTCTTGAAACCTGAGTCTAGATTCTAGATTCTAGATCTAAGTAGATCTTCTAGATTTCTCTTCTCTGTGTGTTTTGAAGCCACTGAGAATAACCCGTGTCTCGCTATTCTCACCCCCCCCCTCCCCCCCGGTGAGAATGGCTCCCACCCCGGTGTGGGCATGAGGCGAGGACTCCCCCCTGACCTCTCGCAGGCAGATAAAATCACCTCAGCCCTTAAAATTGGTGGCTTACTGCATGTGGTTGGGAATGAATAATCTTTAATATAATAAAAACTTTTTTCGCCTCTCCAGTGATAAAAAAAAAGGCTCACTATCCTTGCTACTTGAGCGATATGTGGGACCATTCGTTGTTTACACACAATTTAATGACCGCAGGCCTCTCACTCTCTAGCTGCTTGCGCACAATAAATTATGGTTCAAGGAACAGAGAGCGTGTGTGTACAAACGTAATGAGACACAAGCACGAGACAATTAAATGCTCTTGCCCGACAGTAGAAGGGTTGTGTAAATTATTCAGACCAAATGGGCGAGGGCGTTAAATTAGTGTGAATTAGTTTAATAATTAACAATCCAAGCTCATTACTTCACACTTTCTTTTTTTTTTTCTTATTCTTTCTTTTTCTTTTTTCATGCCTCTTCTTTCTCCTTCTTCTTGAGCATTTGGAGTTTGGAGCCAAAAAAGAGCCAGTGAGCCAAATGAAATTCTCTGGGCCAGACATGACACGATCCAAAAGAGCCAATTTTATTTCTGGGATTTGGCTCCAAACTGACCACCCTGACTGACTATTCAGACACGAACAGTGAGGAACATGATGCTGTGGAGCATCAGAACAGCGGGGATGAGACAACCTCTTCGATCCTTGTTTTGATCATCATTTTACAAGGATTTGATATGATGAGGTGTCTAGAATTTAGATCTAATCTTGATCTAGGTCTAGATTTAAATACTGGATTTATTTTGAGGTTTATAAACTAACATGATGGAAAACACAACACCACCATCACCCC